TGAAGGGACTCCAGCCAGGGCTCTTTGACTTGTCCCCACAAGGCCAGCAGCAATAAATGCTTCTTTCAGTGAATGGTACCCAGGTTGTAGCCATATTGGTCTAGAGGAAAAGGCAATCAGGACTCACAGTAGAGGTGATATCTATTATTAGCAATTAAAGACATTTTTTACAAAAATCTTGTTGGTTTAAGAATAGATATCATCTCTACTACACGTCCTGATTGTCTTTCAGTGAATAGCACGTGAGGGTTAGACATAGAAAGCACATCTACACGAGATGTTTACTGTGGAGTGGACTAATTAGCTGTAGTAAATGTCTCGGCGTCTACACACGCAGTGCTGTTAGGCTGGAGTAAACTAATAAACTCTGCAGCAGGATAGTATGTGTAAATACAAGTACTATTCTACTGTGGAGTTTTTTACTCCCCAGCAGCTCATGTGCAGATGTTGCCTTCGCTGGCTGGGGCACAAGGGTGCTTCAGTGCAGGGGCTGCCCGCCAGCTAGCACCACACTGGAGCACCCTTGTGCCCCAGCCAGCCCTTCTGCAGCATGTTGAGCCACGTTGGAGCAGCCCCAGGCTGGCAGGCTGATCCCCAGGCCCCTTGCCAGCCAGGGATGCTCCAACCTGGCTCAACATGCTGCAGTCCTGACCACATGTGTAAACACAGTATGTGGGAGCAATAAACTCCTGTGTAATAAGTGCCGAGTCTTACAAGGAAAGGCTGAGGGACATGGGACTCTTCAGCCTGGAGAAACGAAGGCTCAGGGAGGACTTGGTGGCAGCCTGTAAGTATGTAAGAGGTGTGCACTGGGAACTGGGAGAATGTCTGTCCATCAGGGCAGCACCAAGGGAAGACAAGGTGTAATGGTCACAAACTCCAGGAAGACTGTTTTAGGCTGGACATAAGAAAAAACTTGTTTACCGTCTGAGTCCCCAGAGTCTGGAATAGACTCCCCCGGAAGTGATGGAAGCACCTGCTCTGGACACCTTTAAGATACCCTTGGATGTGTATCTTGCTAGGATCATTTGACCCCAGCACCCTTTCGTCAGCTTGACCCGATGATCTTGCGAGGTCCCTTCCAGCCCTAATATCAATGAAATCTATTAATTTTGCACGTGTACACATGCCCAGAGAAGGGCAAGTCTGTCGGGTATAGTTTGCAGACCAACAATATGTAGCTAGGACTGCCCTGTGGTGTTATTCAAACCCACCTGGCCATATTATTTCCTCAGGGGCCTGAAAAAGCTTTTCAGGGGCTTGAAAAAACTTTCCCTGCTGATGCTGGGAAGACCCTGAGGATTAGCATTTGGGAATGCGACTTTGCCAGTTAGGCAGCTATTCTAGCAGCAATTCTTCTGTTCAAACCCTGTTTCTCTGTCCCCTCTACTTTCAGTGGCCAGCATGCTAGGGTGAGGTACAACCATGAATGCACTGGAATCAGTTTTTAAAGCATCCCAGCTGATTTTCACTGTCAGATTTTTTTTATATTGATTAACTTTAATTAATAACATGATTAGATTTTTAATAAAAGAGGAGTAAGGAGCTGAGAAGATGCTGGGGGCTTAGATCCAGCAGGGTTGCCCAGATGTTATGCTACCAAGTCTTGAACTGGAAGGGTTAAACCTCTCTTTAAGACAAAAGGTTATTTTGCCTCTGCGTGTCTCTCCTAATGGATCTGACTTCCATTTTCCTCCAGCAGATAGCAATCAATCCTCTCTGATGCCATCTGTGACTGGAAGGGGTGTTTAACGCACCACGCAATCGAATTGTGCCTTGGTTACCTTCAAGTTATCTAAGCCGTTTCCAAAATTTCTCTTTTTTTCTCTGCCTTGTTGAGAAAGGGAAAATGATTCTTGGGTTTTTTGTTTTTTTTGGGGGGAGTGGATTCTGGATTTTTCCCTTTTCTCCCACTGCAGTGTGGTCGGAGTGGCTAAATGAAACATAGTCAGTGATACCTGCGGGATATGCGCAAGGGTATGTTATTAGAGACAGTGTGGACAGGTGCTATCCCTCACATCTCTTCCTCTACTTAGATGTAGTTCGCAAATCCAGCTTATTGCTCCAGGGCCTACATGCTGCCTTCCGCTGCCCTTGTGCATCTTGGCTGATGTCAATGGAGCTTCCTGGGACTTTCACCACTGCAAGTATGCAAAGAGTTTGTCCCACAGACTGTCCTTGATAAAGAAAAGGGGTTCGAAGAGAAAAAGGGTTCTTGAACTAGTGCAGCCAGATGTCTTTCTCCTTAGCCACGTGCAGCTCTCAGTTTCCTATTAGCAGTGTACATACTGTGTGTGTGTGTGTGTGTGTGTCTCTCTCTCTAGACTGGTACAAGTCAGAGCTGTTTGGAAGGCAAAGAAGCTCTCTACATGCTGTTGATCATTTTGTGCCCAAATGCATGCTGTCGCCAATTTTTTTTCCAGGCGGTTTTGTGGAACGATGTGCTGCACGATCCTAGCTCGAGCTAATTAAAACAGAGTGAAGTGCCATTCGTATAAACAAACGCAGGGCTCAATTCACACCTGGGTTGAGCCCAATTGACTTTTTTGTTTATTTACCCCCACGATGCATATGGCCTATCTGTTCTCGCCTTCATCAGCAAGGCTCTTTCCTTTCCCTTAACAAGTGGTGTTTATCTGAGGGCAGCTGAAGAAGTCCTGCTAGCATACAGGGTCCCCGGTAAGAGCTCTTCTCGAAAGTGAAGCACTGCAGGGTGACTGTTTTAAAGAGCATTTGCCGTCCACAGGGAAGCTCCTCTGGAGGGTGGCGCTGGTTGGGTGCTTATGGTATTTACGGTAAAACACACAGGCCGGATTCTCATCCCATTCACACCAGCCTCGAGCTGGAGCGATTCCACCGCCACCAGTGGAGCCAGCTGGGAATTTGTGCTGCTTCAAGCAAGATCCCTCCAGTCTTTGTTTGCGATACGACGGAAAAGCAGCCACAAAGGAGACCACATGGGATCTACCTCCTTTAATGGCAAGTAAATTTGAAGTGGAGTGGCCCTCTCTAATTGGAGCATTACAGCATAGCTTCTCCTGGCTAATTGGGCATCCTGCTGTCTTTTCAAGGAATGACTCAGGCTTGTCCCATTATATCTCCTCCTTCTCTATCAGTATTATTCTTATTATGACACCTCCCTGGCAAGCTGGCATCACCAAACATAGAAATAAGTCATCCTAATGAGACTGAAGTGCATGTTGCCTAGCAACCCAACCTCGCTGGGTTCTTTATATGCTGAGCTGGAAAAGGCACTTAAGCTAATGGTGCCGCTTCTCACCATAGTGTGGTTGGTCCTGTGAAACAAGCAATGCAAGGAGAAATATTTGTGTGCGGGGGAAGCAATTAGAGTACTTGAATATAGTGGAAGAGAGGTCGGCTTGGTGCTCCAGGGCGGTGGGGGAAGTCATTCAGAGTCCATGACCTGGTTTCCCATGGGCAGGAGACATGGTCCTCTCCAGGGAGCAGACCTTCCCATGTATTGCTGTAGCCTTCTCTCTTCCTGGCTGTCCCCATCTGGGAGGACTGGTGTAACAGTGTCAAGCGCAGAAAGGCAGCTCAGGTTGGTAGAGTAGCATGGCATAATGGGACATGGGGTAGAGAGAGATGTGATTGAGAAGCCTCTGTTTGCCTGGGAAATTAGAAATAGCATGGAGTGCTAAGGAATGAGAGAGTTACTGTTTCCTTTATTCCTCTTTTTGCTGTGATCGGAGCCATAGGCACTGGCAGGGCACACCATCACCAGATATACAGGGTACCTTCACTGAGCAGCACCCCACTGTCAGTTCCCTTCCAGCTGAAGATTGCATTTAGAGCTTGGAAATTTTCAGCCATCAAGAGATACCAACCCACCCAGCCTCTCTTTCCTTAGCTGCTGCATAACCACAGCCTTCCCTGGAGGAGGAGCAGTAGTTAACCACATTTATGTGGCTTCCTCTGAACAATAGAAACAGCTAAGGCTATTGGAGTGAAAATAGCTAATGGCTCCCAGTGATGGTTGCAATCTGCTAAAGTGGGGGACTGCTGGAGTGGAGCGTCCTGTGAGGCATGGATTCTGCTGGGAGGGTTTTCAGGAGCATTGTGTTCAATACACCTGCCCAAGGACAGTGCTTTGTGGAGAATGCTTGTGTCAAAATGCTGATGACTGTCTTCAGAAGAGGGTGCAGTTGTGCCTAAGCCTGGCCGGTCAGATTCTGACCCCAGAAAAAAAAAGCATTTGGAGCTGCAACAAACTGACTGAGTCCAGTGCCCCACTGACAATTAGGGTGGCCAGGCAGTTGAAGGAAATAAGGCAAGTACAAATTATGGAAAGGGACATCCATCACCATGACTGCAAAGGACACAGGATCGTATAAATATGCCTACTTCTCTTCTGTCCTGCCTGACCTCAGCTATTTCACTGCTTGGCTTTCACACGGCCAGCCCCATGCACTGCATTCCTGCCTATGGAAGAGCACTTCTTGTTGCCCCAGTCCTGTAACCCTCTGCAATTCCAGCGAGGGCTCCTCAAGCCTGATGTGTATTGCTGTTCCAGTCCTGGAATCACCCAACGCTTTCCCACTACATCTCACTTCCAACTTGAAGCGCTCTGTTTTTCAACCTCTGCACCTCAGACTCCTGGACCAGAGCAAGATGCCATTGTGATGATCATTGCTTAGTACCAAAATGGGAATACTTTCACGATGTAAACTAGACTGCTTTGACGACAAAGGCACAGACCATCAAATCTGTTTTTTCTAGTAATGTAGTCAAGGTTTGGAACTTAGGTCTCCAGAGGGAAACCCAAGTTAAACCATGTTAAACCACTAGGCCAACTACAGGACCTTTTTCTATATTTTCCCTTGGGATATTATTCCTCCCAATCCTAACTGCAGTGTGCTGCTGTGGCATCCAGATTTCCCATGTAGGTAGGGATTTTGATCATCCTCATCACCAGAGCTTCTGTGGCATGGAGTGGTACTGCTGTTGCACACGTTTTCTCAATCTGTTTAAATCTGCAGGACTTCTCCTATGATGACTCCAAGGTGGAATTTAACGTTGATGCCCCCAATGGAGTGGTGATGGAAGGCTACCTCTTCAAGCGAGCAAGCAATGCTTTCAAAACGTGGAACCGGTGAGTAATCAAGCCTGATGCATTTGGTGGCTGGATGAGGGTTTTGATTTTGGCTCAGGACTGGAAGGGCATCTAGCAGTGCCTGGCACTGATTTGGTACATCTCTCGTGACATCTACTTTTGCTGAGATGACTTCAGCAGCTCCAGGCCAATGAGCTTTTCAGTTCAGCGATTTCCTACTGCTAAGCTGTGCTATTGCTTCTCTCTGTGAGTGCTGAACTTGTGGGATTTTGTGATATAATGGCGGGGGACGGGACGCGTCCTGCAATGCTGGCCTGTTTGGGATAGAAATGACTAAACTCATTAAAAAGAGCTAAATGTTTTATGTTTTGTAGGCTGTAAAGATAATTTGAAGGATAAACTGGCTTTTCCTGGCTTCTTAATGCTAAGTTCCCACCAAAATTCAGGAAATCTTTCTTTTAGTATCACTTCCATATTTTCCCACTTTCCTCCAGTCCAGTGAAGTGTTACTGCTGGAAGTGGCATGTGGGACTGCTTGCTTTCATTGGGACTAGCCTGTTTCTTTTTTTGTTTGGTTTTTTTACTGAGAACTGGTATACTCCTAATGGGCTTGGCTTGAGAAACAAAAACCTGCCTGAGGTTCACTGCACCTTTGCAAAAGTCAAAAAGCATGACAGTGAGCAGCTTCCTTGATGGGCCAGCTACCAGGCTCCATGCTTGGAAGGCAGGACACAAAGCAGCTGGAGTCGGGCCCCAGGAAAGCTGTACAGTTGTAACCATCAAGAGGAACATCTAACACAGCAGGACAAACATGACTTTTGAGAGCTGCTTGTATCAGACAGCTTTGTTTTGCAAGGCAATGAGAGGTGGGAGCCTGGAAACGTCAGCTGTGCAGCAAGGAGCGGAGATCTGCTCCCTCCAGGCACTGACCCTTCTGCTAGTCCCTTATAAATATTTCAGATGATGTTTCATTTGAAATGCTAGCCTGCCTTCTACAGTAGAGCTCCCCGGGACCTTGGAGAAGTGCAGGCAAGAGGGGGATTTCATGTTCTTTCTTCGATTGATGTCAGTAAGCCTGGCATCCCTTGGGCAAGGCATGGGGCCTCACTTGAACTGCTGCAAGTGAAAGTGGGGTTCAAGCCATCAGATTCTATTTCTAGCATGTGAAATCAGTGCCTCTTTGACCCCCAACTCTTGACACGGCAGTATAATGACAGGCTCCTGAGAGCATGGGTTTCTGAGCACGATCAGGGTATATTCTGCAGTGAGGCAGAGATGTGTTGCTGCCCTGTTGGAGCAAACCAGAAAGTGCTGAACAGTTCCTGGCATGTGCATACATGGCCCACCCTTTCTCAGCCAGGAGGCGGCAAGTTGATGTCATGCCTAGGGGGAGAAACGTTGTTCAAAGTCATTCCTTCCCCCTCCAGATCGTTACCCCAGACTCACACTGAGCCTGTCTTGCAGAGTCCAGCATGGTTTGGTCTAATGTTTCTGCACCAAGGCTTTTCCATTTGCATGACATTCAAGTGCATCGTGTGCACCTCAGGGGCTCCTGAGGGACCTAAAGCCAAAGTGACATATTCCTGTGAGAACAGCTGCTCCCCGGAGATACTCAGCCCAGCATTGCAGAGGTTTGCATATGGTGCTCGCAAGCCCATGAGCTATAACTCATCTGAGCTGGACCTCAGAATGATTTGTGGGTCAGCCCTCAGCATTTCTGATGTAAAGCTGGAGAAGGTACCCTAGACTTATCTCAAAGGCACCTTCTTCTGCAGGGAGGCAGGCTTTTGTTTCTTTCCAATATACCTGACAAATCTGGGGCGAAAGTGGGATGCTTCAGCTATTCATAGCAATCTGTATCCCGCACATTCAAATTCAAGCTATTCGCATCCATCTGCATTCTCCCTACACATTCCAGCTATTCATAGTCTTCCATACCTCCACATCACAGCTATTCACAGCCACAGCCCCCCTTCATCCCACCTACTTAGAGCCCTCCACATCCCCCCCTACCCCATACATAGAGAGATGTGACCATGATTTCAGGAGCCCTGGGAAAAAAGCCTCTGTGAGAAACTGCGGATGCTTCCTCAGCCTGGCAAAGGGTGTTTGTGCCCAAAAGCTTGCAAAGAAGACTGCTTTCCAACTATTTGAGTTGGTCTAATAAAAGATACCAGATTTACCCAAAGCACCTTGTCCGCCGATGTCCTTAGACCAACACGGCTACAACCTTTACCCCTGTGAGAAACATATGCACCTGTACAAACCAAAGCCTAAGAGTTCAGGATAAGAACCAGCACTGTATGCCAGTGCATGCCCTAAAGCTGTTGCCCCAGCCAGGAAATCCAAATGGAAAGAGACTTGGGACTGCGAGAAGTGGCATCCAGGCTCACAGTTTCAGAAAGCAGACTTCTGCTTGGCTTCCTGTGACAGAAAAGATCCTGGAGGATACACCACTGCCACTGTCAGGGGGGATGGCTGTCACAACAGGGAGCGCAACGAGCTGCAGATCCAAGCTTATTCACAAGCTGATCAAAAGAGGCTACTGAGCAAGTGAAAAGGCCTCTCATTACCTCCGTTCCTCTGATTCCTGGCAGACAGTACATCTTTTATTAATGTCACCTTTTATCTCTCTCTAATGTCTCCGCAAAGATAGAAATAGAAGTGTCGCTCATTTTGTTTTCCCAGGAAAATGAATTCTTTTGCATGTTGAAGGCAAGGTGCAAGTCTAAATAATGTTTAAATTCATAGTTTCATAGCCTTAATTCAAGGCTTTCTGACTCTTTCCTCACCCAGCTGCATGCCCATCCTTCATGGAACGTAGCCTCTCAGCTTTCTGCTTCCCAGAGAGATAACTGTATAGGGAAATCACAGGAATGGAGTGAGACCATCTGCATTATATTCCTTAGTTTGACATAGACAAATCAGTTAGCTTCTATGCGTACCTTCATTTTTCCAGCATAAGATGCTCGGAAATTCTGTGGTGGTGTGTGCTACTAGGGATGATAGGTGGGTGGATGGGTGGACTTCCGTAACATGCTGATAAAATCCAGAAACATTTGCCGTGGCAAATCAAAGCTGTACCCTTGACTCAGTGGCATTTCTCTGGTGGTCCCTCCTGTTATACAATGGATTTTGAAATTTTCGTGGACTTTTCAGGGAATATCCTGGATAACAATGATCAGAACTCTGTTGATTTTGGTGAAAGACAACTGCCCCCAGAAAAGCCTAACTTCCTCTAATCTAAATGTTATCTAGGCTCTGGGGCAGTGACCTCACAAACGTCATCATGTGAAGATACATAACTGAGGCAGTGACGTCAGGGACAGAGCTACCCCGAAGATGGGGTAACGGTGTGACTTTAGGGTTAGGGTTAAAGCCAGGGATTGGAATGCACATTCGGTGAGTCTGATTTGGGTGGAAATCAGACTGTTGGAAGCTTGTAGCAGATCATCCCTCACTCCTGTTTCAGCCAGTTCCCTGCTCCTAATGCAGCCATATACCACCCTAACGTGAAGCTTGCAGCCCCCTTGCTGGCTGTAATGGGGTCAGGGAGACTACTTGGGTGGATATATCTGTGCAAACAATAAAGTATATGATTCTCTAACACTACCTCTTTCTCTCAACCTGTCTTTCCTTTCTAGAAATGTATCCACAGACATATCCAGGACATGTGTCCCCATAGCATCTCAGTGCTAAATGCTGTCATTCAGTCATCTTGCAAAGCACTTGTTTGTTCTCAGAAGGAGAGTGCTATAAAAATGCAAGGCTTCATTACCCGGGTCATATCTTCCATGATTCTTGGAATGAATGGCATTATTTTGCAAAAGCAGAGATGTCCTGTCCTTCAGGGGAAAGGTGGCTGCATCTCACCTTTTCACATTGTTACTAATCACTTGCTCCGATGCCTCTTCTTTCCTCCCTGTCTCTCCTCAGGAGGTGGTTCTCCATACAGAACAGCCAGCTGGTATACCAGAAGAAGCTAAAGGTCAGTGAGCTTGCCCCAGGTGACATGAGCAGATTAGTCATCTCATCTGATGCCCTGCTGTTTGGGGATGAGCAGGGGGCGGAGGATGAATTTGAAGCTCTGACAGCAAGCGTGGTCTGAAATTTCCACTCTGATATTTCCTTGCTCAGAACCCAAGCTGTTCCGAGAACCGCATGGCAGGGATCAGTGGATAAATCACTTTGGCATTGCTGTCTAACAGAGGAAATGAGTGGCCATGTTCCCAGGACCCCTGTTTCTTAAACGTTCAGCTGATTGCTCTTTCTATTGGTTTCCCCCTGCACCTCTCTTTTTCACTCCTGGTATTGGAGACGCCATGAGAATACCTGTTCTTAGAGCATTTCCAGGATGGTCCGAATAAAAATGCAGCAGAACTTGTGCTGCTGTGAGGTCTGGCATCCTGGTGTTGGAGAAAGTGCCAAGCTGCCTGCAGTCCACAGACAGGTGCCCATTTTCTTTCTTTTTAGGATGTCCTCACGGTAGTGGTGGAAGACCTGCGTCTCTGTACTGTCAAGCCCTGTGAAGATATAGAAAGGAGGTTTTGCTTTGAGGTTGTCTCCCCTACCAAGTAAGTTTTGGGGCTTTTTCTGGCCATAGAACAAAGTAGTGTGATTAGGTGGGGAATTGTAGGGCAACCGGCAAGCGGACACTGGCCGGCCTACAACTCATTGGGAGAGAGCAGGCTTCCTTGTGCTTTGAGTTGCTATTCTGTAAGGAAGAGGGATTGTCCTGGAGAACCTAGAAGCAGCAACATTAGACGCAGGCCCCAGTCAGAGAGTTTGAATCTGCTTTTCTAAATCCAAGCCTGCACCTGAAAGGCTGAAAAGTTTGAAGTGGGCAAAGGGGTTGCAATCCAGGGCTTGTGAAATGCATAACTACATCTGGGTTTGGGCTCCAAACACCCCCAACTCCAAGAGGGTTAAAAATCTGGTGCTCTGGCTCTATACTCATCACAAGAGGAATGAAGGGGCAATGCCATCCCTGCCTCCCTTGCATGGATCTAGCTAGTGAGGAGGAGCAGACACAAGCAGTGTAAAAGGGACTTTCTCCTGAGGTCCACCAGATTTTTGCTGGGAGAGACTGAGAGGTGCTTCTCGCCAAGTGGGGCAGGTGGAAAGGAGGGAGGCAGAGGAGTGCAAATGTCACCAGCTGTCACGCAGCGGTGTTTGGAGACAGCTCATCAGACAGAGAGCAGCCAGTCCTGCTGAATAATGCCTGAAGGGAATTTATAATGGACTGGGCCAAGTGTCTGCTCTCTCTCACATGGTGCTGCGTTACCAGCATTTCTCCCTGAGTTGCATGAAAGCATCAGGGCAGAGGAAGGGGGAGGGTTGAGGAAAAGGTGCTGGGGGAAGGAAGGTGTGTGTTTGGCTTGTTTGTGAGGGTCAGAAAGCTTCTGCGAATGTGGGAGGGAAAAGGGAGACGTGATGTGAAGGAAGCGAGCACGTTTGTGCCCGTGTGATGGGGAGGTGGGGGGGGAGTGTGAGTGGGTGTGGGAGGGAAATAGGTTTCCCTTTGATAGTTTAGAGACATCAGATGAAATCTTTCCTAGCCCCAGGGAGGTTCCAGCGGGGAGCTGTGGTGCTTTCATTGCTTATACTGGCCCTACAGCAGGATGTGAGCAGTGACCCGCGGTCCAGTGCTGTGAGGGGTGCTCCAGCATCTCTCTGACCCTGCTGCGGCCAAGAGGGGAGCTGGCTGGGACATCTTATAGTGAAACCTCAAGGAAGGAGAATGAGAGCAGCCTTGTGGGCAATGATGGGGGGGAATGGATGGTGTCCGGGAAACGGAAATAATCTCGGAGATGAACTGCTGCAGGCTGCTTGCTGTCCCTGTTGGGTTTGCCCAAGGGAGTTGGGCACAGAGAAAAGTGCTGAGCTTGTCTAGCTGGCTGTAAATAAAATTCAGGTGCCCAGTGCAGCTGCAGCTCCCTTCCCATGGCTTTTTACCAACCCGTTGTTCTGTGGCCTCTTCCCTGACAGAAGCTGCATGCTGCAAGCCGACTCGGAGAAGCTGCGCCAGGCCTGGATCCAGGCGGTTCAGGCAAGCATTGCCTCCGCATACCGGGAGAGCCCTGACAGCTACTACATCGAAGTGAGTCAGACGGCGGGCACTGAGGCTAGTCATGCAGCTCACAATGTCTAGCAGGCATGGGCACTGTGGGGAGGGGGCCAGGTGCTGCTGAGCACACAGGGCAGACCAAATCAGAGCCAAGAGTAAAGAGCAGTCCTGAAGCCTTTGCCTTCCTCACATCCTCCTCCCAAGGACTCACTGCCCTGCAGGATGTTTTCCCTTAAGGAGCACTGTGGCCTTTTGAAGGGGGTTGCTGCTCTGTGTTGCTATATGGGGGCACAGGTTGGCAGCACAGGTGAATAATTACCAGTTCATATTGTTCCCAGACTCTGGTTCAAAGGGGATGAGCCGAACAGGTATCCTCATCCCTGGCTTTCCTTAACTAATGCTGCTTCAGGCTTCTCTATCTGGCACTTTCCCCCTGTGACTATGAGGTATAAAACCCACTCTGGAATTTGAGTGCTTCTCAGTATGATTGTAGAGTACCTCTGGAACAACAGAAATGACCTTCATTCAAATAATCAAGCCTCTTGAACTACGCTACATCTAGCTTCCCAGAGTCTGAGACCAGTCAGAGGCTGGGCTGCAAAGCACACAGTCCGTCCCCTTGTCTCCCTGCAGAGACTGGACCGGACTGCCTCCCCATCTACTAGTAGCATTGACTCTGCCACGGACTCCCGGGATCGCAACGTGAAGGGAGAGACCATCCTGCAGAGGGTCCAGAGCATTCCTGGAAATGACCAGTGCTGTGATTGTGGTCAGTCGGATCCCCGGTGGGCCAGTATCAACCTGGGCATTCTGCTGTGCATCGAGTGCTCTGGGATCCACAGGTACTGTGCAAACACAGTCTTAGCGGCTGGGTGCTTTGCTTCCCTGCCTCTGGGGGGGATGCCTGTGTTATAGCTGACTTGTGTTTACAGAGCCATGTTCAAAGGCACAGAAGGTTGCAGCACCTCTTTGTGTGCGTGTGCATGCATGCTCATATGCACAGGCATATCTCTCTCTCATACACATGCATGCACACATGCACACGCTTCATCAGACCTATATATTTCATGCATGTGTATATGTATGTGTGTGTGTGTGTGTGTGTGTATACACACACACACACACACACATATACATATATATACACATATACATGCATACATATATATATACACATATACATACACCTCCCCCCCCCCCGGGTAACAGTTTCTACCTCCTGTGTATGTTGAGTAGATCTGCACAAATAAGGAACCATAAAGCACATCACTAAATGGCCTGATTTGTGATCTTGACTGGAATGAAACTACTTCAACTTCGCATTTTAAAATACAGGATCACTCAAAAGTCTGCAGCAATTATAGAAGGCGCAATTATCCTGGAAGTTATCTATCCTATTTTCCCTGTGAAAATTGTAGTTAAGATAAAGGAGTGTTCTGGAAGTCAGAAGACCTAGATTTTATTCCCAGCTGCTATTGACTTTCATTGGATAAATTGTTCAGCTGCTCTGGCCTTTCTGCATTTAAACCTTACATGCTGTTGTGAAGCACTTTGAGATCTTCAGGTGCAAAGTGCTGCATAAATGTAAAGTGTTCCTGCTTTTAACCCCCTCTAATAACAAACCATGGGCACCCAGCTTAGCTCTCCTAAAAAACCTTACCACAACAAGCCAGCAGGCACGTGTCATGGTAGGATACAAATTTCAAATAAGGAAACATATTTCCCTTCCAGATTTCCAAGGGCTAATTCTAATTAGGGAGTATAAATATAAACATAAAACAATTGAAAGCTAAGTATCTCAGTAGGGTGCCCTTATCGCACAAGGCATTAAATAGAGCTATGGGAACTCCCCGCAGGGGAGGGAACTGTTCTGTATGTGCATGGTTCTGCCTCTCTCTCAATCTGTGACTTGCATTGTATGCGTATGAATTGCGCTCACTTCCATTCATTCTGCCACCTGCTCGGGGCTCCTCTTTGATGTACAAAGTCTGCTTTGAAGCCTACAACCGTTCCCCGTCTCCCCTTTGGTTCTCCAGGAGTCTGGGCGTTCACTGTTCCAAGGTCCGATCTCTCACGCTGGATTCCTGGGAGCCAGAGTTACTGAAAGTGAGTGCTGGTTTTCAGTGTCAGAGCTGGGGCAGAATCCCTCTCTTGGGGCCAAGGATGAAAGGAATTGCAGTGCCTTTGCTGACTGCTTTCTCCCTCCCCTGCCCTATTGCAGCTGATGTGTGAGCTGGGGAACACCACCATGAATCAGATTTATGAAGCACAGTGTGAAGAGCTGGGACTGAAGAAGCCCACGTCAGGGAGCTCCCGGTAAGTCTGAGCCCCTCTGCTTATCTTCTTCCAGTGCTTCCCCACAGCTCTGTCCTTGAGGTTCTGGCCATGGGGTCAGTAGGGATCCTGTTTTTCCACGTGGAAGAGCTGCAGAAAAGGGAAAAGAAAGGGATTAGATTAGCCCTACACGTGCCTGTTGGACAGCAATGGTGTGCAGTGGACAGCGCAAAAGGGAGACCACTGAACAGTTCACAGTACTGGTTAGTTTTGCTGCTTTGGTACTGGGAATCTGCTTCATTTTTTGCAGTAGACACCCTTCTTCCCATTTTACCTCCCCCTGTCTCCATGCTACCTGCCAGGGCACAGCTCTGGTCTCTCAATAGGCTTTTCCATGCCCCTACCATGCCCAGGTTTCTGCCTTTAACTCCTCTCAGAGTGCTGCCTCTCACAGCACTTGCCATTGAGCTGCATGGCATATCCCCCAGCCTAGATCTGTGAATGGGTGGGATCCATCCGTGGTCGTTCAGCATCTCTGATAACCAGGCTCTTTATTAGGAAGCCTGACTGGGCCACTGGGTTTCAGGATTCTGCCTTTAGTGACATGCCCCAGGCCCAGAGTGAGTCTATGGCAGAACTGGGGACAGAGCTGTGGTGTGCTGAGGTTTAGGGCTAGGTCCTTCTTGACTTTATTTACAAGGTAGATGTAAAATCCTTGTAAAGAGCAAGAGATCAAGGGAAGCAGTGGCAAGCAAGCATCCTCACATCTTGCCCTAGTGTTACAGTTCTCACTACCCTAAATGACAGGGAGAGGAGTTGCCCTGCAGCTGCAGGGGACCTGGCTTTCACCGTATGGTCCAAGGATCCTGCAGTGGCTGGGCCTTCTTGGCGCTATGAGCTGTGCAGTATATGCTTGCTTTGTTCTCCCTACAGACAAGACAAGGAAGCCTGGATCAAGGTCAAATACGTGGAGAAGAAATTCCTGAAGAAGCTGCCTAACACTGAGGCCCTGGTGGACAACGAGAGGAAACCCCGGCGCTGGAGCGTGAAGAAGTGCCAGCGGCACAACAGCACCACAAAAGCACCCACAGCTCGCAGGAAGTACCGCCACGAGGCAGGAAATGCATCGCCGGCAGCACTGTCATCAGGTGGGAACAGCCCCAGCTTCCCATTTTCCAGTACAACATGCTACACCCATCTGTCCAAACTGCTCCTCATGTTTTTGCAATGCTGCCCTCTGCTCTAGATAGATCTGCTGTGATAAAATATGTGTGATACTGCCTCCCTCTAGTGGCTGCAGCCTTATGAGTGCTCACACCATTGCACAAGCACACCTTTTATATAGCTTTCCAGTTCAATTCCCTTACAAGCTACCTCTTCCAGGCCAGGAAGACGGCATGACCATCTTCCAGGTGGGACCAATACATTGGGATGATCAAAGGTCTCCTGTAAACTGCTTCCTTGATCCTTTACTTGCTTGTTCATCATCATGTCCAGACTATCAACACATTCAGACTAGCTTTATTGTTCTTATTCAGCTGGTCCAGAGCAGAGTCTGTCCTTATGCAGGGTCACCCACTGCCCCAAATGTCACAGTGTAACAGCGGTTTTGCCATGTCCAACAGGCTACTTATTATTTTCTTTGCATAGATCTGCAGGCTCACTTTCCAGGCTCAGATTATACAAACACAAGCATGGGGTTTTCTTTTCCCCTGCTCCTACAAATTTAAACATCCCTCCCTTGCCAACAGCTGCCACACTGGAGAGGAAATTCCGGCGAGACTCTCTCTTCTGCCCGGATGAGCTGGACTCCCTCTTCTCCTACTTTGACACAGGCGCCGGCTCTGGACCACGCAGTAAGTATAAATAGAGGGAGCAGCTGTGCTGCTGGCATGTCTTTATCTCCCACTTCTTCTAGGGCATGTGCATTGCACCAGACTGATGGCAAGGTACCAGCCCTCACTGGAAAGGTGGCCAGTTGACTAGAGAACACACACACACTGGGGCTAACGTTTAAAGAGAGAGTGAGGGGGAGTTACTTGCACTAGCCCTGACCCATTTCCCAATTTTATCACACTTATCTTTTTTTTAAATCTCTTTCCAATCAATCCCTGGTCTTGGTATTTTGGTGGATGGGATTTTTTTTCCATGCCCTTTCTCCCCAACCTGAACATCCCATCAGCTTTTTCTATTTTTTTTTAAGCCAGTCTTACTTTTAACATTTTTTTTAAATTATTTTTGCTTGTGACAATTAACTCCCCTCACATTCCGTCCACCTTCCTCTTAGGTGCCAGCCACATCTCTATGCAGCACCCGCTAGGAGCTGGCCCATGGAGTGGCAGTGGCATTGGTCCCGGTGGGAGCGGTATGCCGTTCCTCCTGGACGGAGGTAAGGTGACGCCATAGCAGCTAGCAGCAAGAGACCCACAGATTTCACTTGTTCCAGGCAAAAGTCAGAGGAAGCGATGTATTCTTTTAAACTACACCATTAGGACGCTATAATAGGGGCCTCAGGAAAATGATAGGCAGACAGAGAGACAGACACATAGATATTGCTATAGAGTAGAAAGCTGAAGTGATTACAGCTCTGATTCTGCTAAGCACAAGAACAAGGGCTTCACTTTAATGCTGTATTCAGCCCTGCTGAAGTCAGTGTAGCACGCGGCTTTCATGACATGCTGAATTGAGCCTGTTCTAGTTTTGAGACAGCTGCAACTATTTTAGCGTTCAGGGAATTTATACATTCAAAGTTTCTATCTGAACTGATACTATCCTTTCCCAGGCCCAGTTTAGGTGGGATTCTCCAAAATGCTTAGCAGTGGCCTGGCATCAAGAAAAGTTTTGCCACTGACTCAACAGAAAAAGAGTTTGTTTGGTGCCTGGCACTTTGGACAGTTCCACTTGTGCTTGTTCTGAGTCAGATTCAGGTCACTTACCTTGGTGTAAACTCAATCTGTCTCATTGGAGTTACTCAGTATTTCCACTGATGCTGCTGAGAGCAGAATCTGGCCCCTACTGCAGATAGCTAATGATCCAGTCATGACCATGTGAAGTCCCAGTGGAGTCAACAAGGTTGCAGTCAGACACAGGTGTATCCCTGGCTAGAAAACTAGGGTCTTAGTGACCTGAGCCAGAGAATGGTGCAAAACATTTCTCACCAACATTCGTTCACAGTATTAAGCAGCCAGGCCTTTCAGCTAGGTTTGCTTCCCCTTCGAGATCACTTCCTACAAAACATTTTGGGAAATCTGTTGATGACAAATTGAAAGCAAACGATTCCAGAATATTCGAGGAACATGACAGTCTAATGTTTACCCTGGCCCTGTGAGTTGCATTTATCCAGGAGGAGGACAGAAACACACCATGAGGTCTAGGAGTGCACTTGAAGTAGATCCCCTTTTGGAAAGCCAGTACCTGCACTGAATTGCATTAAAACCAGTTAAGGACCAAGGACTATTTAACAAAGTGTTCACTTTTCAGCAAGTGATTAAGAAAAGCCAGGATAGAATTGGCCAAAAATGAAAAAGGGCCAAGAAGCAAATCCCTTGAATACATTACAGGCTGAGAGTTGTCCTCCCTGCTCTAATTGTACCCAAGGGACTCACCAGCCTTTGGACAGACTCTGACAGCCAGGGTTCAAAATCCTGCTTCAAGGTCACAAGTGAAGTGGGTCTGATAGTCTCACTCTCATGCCTGCACTGTCCTGTAGCCAATCTACCATGCAGCTTGGTAGAGTTCAGCACAACTGGCAACCTTTGGCTGACGAACTATCAGGACTGGAATATCTGCTTTTTAAGGCAAGATCAAATGCACTGGCAGAGCTGAGTGGAGGAAGCTTGCTTGCCTGTATCATGCCTGGCTTTAGATGATGCTATCATCATATCATCACTCTTATGGGGACTTCATTTGCTGTATAGGAAAGGGTCCAGGAATTTGGTCCTTTGAGGTGTTAAATGTCTTTCAACTTCTGCTCACTAGAACTGAATGAAGTAGTGGTGTGTCAGTAAATCAGCCACTTCAGTAAAGACTTGCTCTTTATTTGAAGTAAGTGTGAAATCAAAACCCACACCTCTGCTGTGCTTACCAAGGAAAAATGCTCAACAAAATGTCATCATTCGATGAAAAATGTGTGTTTCTCTGGACGGGGACTTACTGCCAGCTGCCCAACAGTGCAACAAGTGACACAAAATAAAGAGTGTGAAGTCTAAAAAACTGGAAAAGAATTGGTTCTTAGTTATACAAGTGAAAGTTTGGATGCACTTATATCAGAGGATTTACATTGCTATAACATTATCAAACTGGATCAAAATGCCTAGCACAAAATGATGTCCCTTTAAGAAATAATCAGTCCAAGTTAATGCCTGTTTTTCCCTTTATGCACTCATCTTTTGCTGAATCTGGCAAGTCTTTTCAGTGTATCGTACTAAAAACAAACTGCCAGATTCGTAACCTTTTTTCAGGCTGGCTGGAATGTATGATTTATTCAGAATGAAAACTTTGCTTACACAAGTCTCATTGCAATTAAAAAGGAACCAAGCCAGCAACAGGATGTCACTGAGATGCCTTATTGCCCTGATTACATCTCCAACAGCTGCCCCAAACCTGGAAGTGAGGTGCTGTGGGTTATCTCAATGGGTATAACCTCTCGAGACCGACTCTTTTCATCCTAGTAGAGATGAGCCCACCCTGCCAAGTTTGCATCCTGATCTGGATCCTAAGACCAGGTGTTGGTTTGGGCCCATCTCTCCCGTTCTGCTCTACATTCCAAGGGATCAGATATACATAAGGAGCTCTGCAAGGGCTATTAACCTGAGGCTTCAGGGCACAAACTAGTCCCTAGCTATTAGAAAGCAGTACGAATCCCAGTGTAGGTGAGGGGGATTATTTCAATACCTTATGCTGCTGCAGATGGTCCTGATCACTATTGCAGGCCAGGGGGGCAGGTAGACCTCAGATCTGATTCTTTTTGATAGTTTCTTTGTCCATAGACAGATTCTACTGTAGTTTTTGGCTCCTAGGGTGGTGAAACTACAGATGCTGAGAAATCTTCTTTGTACCAGGGTGACATGCCAGTCCCTTTGGGAGACATCTTCCATTTTCAGTTCTGTGGTGGTTTCTCCCTTCCGATGTTTCTCAACTGCTACATCCCCCCAAAGTGCAGGAAGGGCATACAGACTGCTCTGATACTGATACCGTTTGTGTCCTTGATCAAGTTGCCTCATCTTCATGCGACTCATCCTCTGTTATGTGTTTGGCTGCCCTTTAATATTTACCCATCCATCCAGGGGGTTGGAAAGCTGAATGAGTGCCTGAAAAATGTGAAGTGTGATATGACTATAGATATGAATGGGTCAGGAAGCTGGTCAAGTGACCCTCCAACCAGCAGTGATGCATCACAGCACATGCCTCAGTAAACAGCGAAGGGTTGTGGGGAAGCCTGGAGGAGGGGGAAACAGAGGCAGCAGAGGTGAAAGCAGATAGTTGTCTCTGTTTATGATGCTGCCCATCCTGCTACAAAGCTCTCCCTGCTGCTGCTCTTGTCTCCGGCCCAGTCCAAGGCCTCCAGGATCCTGTCTGAGGGGGAAGAGTGCTATTCTCCCCAGCAGAAGATGTGCTGGACACATGCTGGAGCACCCCCTCACATAGGGGGAGGCAGCCTGGGGAGATGAGGGCCCTGATGCACCAAAAGCAGGCTTTGCAGGTTGTCTGCATATTAAAATGATCTTGGTTTGTCTTCTGTTGGCCCTGCAGGTCTGAGCAGCGACAGTGGGCTGGGAGGCAGCACTGACGGCAGCACTGATGTCCTGGTGTTTGGCTCAGTGGTGGACAGTGTCACGGAGGAAGGTGGGTGTAATTCACAGCCTAACACTGGCAGGAGATGACCAGCAGGCCTAAGGCAGGGTGGATGGGCCTCAGAGTCATTCTGTTCCCTTGTACCGCCCCATGTCATGCCAAGGGGCCGAAATGTTGGGTTGAGAGGCCCTCAGATACAGGACCTGATCTCTGTCAAGCAGCTTATCGTGCTGTTTTTATCATGACCTGACTAGAGAGAAACCGCCCTCCCTCATCATACCCAGCTCTCTGAGAAGAAAAGATGTCACCGCAGAACTTCTCCTTGAGCTAGTTGCCTCTGCATTGCCCAGTTTCTTCAGTGGCAGATCAATTGTTTCGCTCCTTCCTGGGGTCTTCAGTAGCGGAAAAGGGTCACTTATTCACCAGTGTCAAAGTTGCATATCTCCAGTGTTGCCTGAGAGAGGTCTCTCAAATGCCCAGGCTGGCAAGGAGCGTATGAAGCGAGGAACATGAGGCTCTTAGTAAAGCAGGATGTAGCTCACCTCTCCCACCCCTCTCTCCCTCTCAGAGTGTGAAGTGTCAGAGGAGTCTAGCGGCGAGGCAGAGATTGAACAGGAGGCCTCGGACCTGGAGGACCTACGGGAATTGCACCCCGGCTTGCTGGTTTACAAGGCAGCCCGGGCCCGGAACCTGCCTCTCATGGCAGAGGCTTTGGCTCACGGTGCAGAAGTCAACTGGGTGAATGACGAAGATGAAAACAAAACTCCTCTGGTTCAAGCTGTGATGGGGGTAGGTTGTGCTGGCAGCTCTGAATGTTTAGGCTCTGAAGGAAGAAGAGGGGACAGCTTAGTAACATAGCTAGTTAATGGTCCCAGACCCTCTGTTTAGATTTATCTTAGGCACTCAGTGTGCCTAGTTTAGTGGATCTTTGTCTGGGCTGCTAGCACGGGGGCTGGGGGCTGCTGGCAAGAGTGAAGGGGACTGGCAGAGCTGTGCTGGTTGCAGGCCTGGGACAGCAGTGAGAGCAGCTGGCAGAGGTGAAGCTTGACCATTCCCTGCCTGCACTATGCCTGATGTCCGCCCCTTCTCTGAAATGAGACTTTCCTTTCTTGGTGGAAGGATTAGATGGGCATTCAGGGACTCAAGCCTGGTTAGAGAAGGAGACTTGCTCCAAGCTGCTTCAGGTTTGAGTCCCTTTGGTGAATATCCTCCAGCGGCTAAGCTCTGTTAGATTCTTCCTTGGAGCCACGTTGGCCTTTACCCTCAGGTCCAGCATTGGAGCAGAACCCGGCACAACTTCTCTCTCCCTTTTCTCAACAGGGCTCCTTGATAGCCTGTGAATTCTTGCTCCAGAATGGAGCAGATGTTAACCAAAGAGATATACGGGGCCGGGCTCCTCTGCACCATGCCACATACCTGGGCCACACTGGGTAAGCCCCTCTCTTGTTGTGCTAACACACTTCAGAGCTCAGGGCTTCAGGACCAAACCTGAGAGCCAAGGCAGGACCTGGGCTTTGCTGAATCAACTGAGGGGGAGACAAATGCTTGTGTGTGTTTGGGACAAAAGAACCCAGTGTCTCCCAAACAGGCAGGCTGGCATAAGTGGGTGCCCTGTTTCCTGTCTTTCTGTTGACTTCAGCAGAGTTGCGCCTGATTTACACCAATATAAATGAGAACCAGACCCCTATCCAAAGCATGCATTTATTTATTACACTCTTTCTTTCCCCTTTCTCTACTGTGTTAGGTATCTGCTCTCTGCACTTGCTGTTTTTCTCCAGTCTCTGCTGTTTTCACCCAGCATTTTTCAGTGATGTGTTTGTTTTCCTCCCTCTCTCTGCTCCCATGTCTTTGCTCTTCCGGGTGACTGTACCAGTCTTGCAATGCTGATGTTTCAATGGAGTGTCTGGTTGTGCAGTATCTGGTTGGGAGTGAAATTAAACAATGTGATTGTCAGCGCTCCTCAAATCCCATATCCCATAGGGTAGAATCCACCCTTGTGCACAGGCTTATGTGTCACCAGGGCTTTTGTTTCTCCCCAGCTGCCATGGGCATGCAGTTGTGACACCTGCCACCTGGGCTAGGCTGGGAGGGTTTCTTGTCCACATTCTCACAGTCACATGCAGAGACCTGCTGGGCCCCAGCTCTGCTCTCCTCTTGTCCTGTCTCCTGACCTGAGAGAGAGCGCCTTCTCTTGCAGAGAGAGCAGAATGTCTTGGGAGAGGCCCTGTGCCTCGCTGTTGCTTCCAGTGTGGCTATCATGAGTGTTGGATCTCCACTGGGGATTGATGCATCTGCTCTGACATCTTTGCTTTCCCTTTTGCAGCCAGGTCTGCTTGTTCCTAAAGCGGGGAGCCAACCAGCATGCAGTGGATGAGGATGGGCAGGACCCTCTCAGCATTGCAGTCCAGGCGGCCAATGCAGACATAGTCACCTTGTAAGTGTGACCCCAATCTCCCGTTGCTTGCACAAGCGGAGGCTGACAGGTGGATTTAGGATGGAGACCAATAGGAGATCCATGCCAGGTAGCAAAAGATACTAAAACCTTCCTCCTCTTTCTCCTTTTAGGCTGCGTCTGGCTCGGATGAATGAGGAAATGAGAGAAGCTGAGGGCCCCTTTGGACAACCAGGTCAATATCCCAGCAACAGCCCCACTGAGCTCCAGTACAGGAAGTGTATACAGGAGTTCATCAGCCTTAATATAGATGAGTGTTAGTGACAACTCCCTCCCCTGCCTCCCCTTTCCATCTTGAGTGGGCTGAATTTAGGGAAGCCCACGGAGCCCCACCCTTGGCATATTGGTGTTTCTTGCAGATTGGCCTCGTTCTGATGCCTACGGCAGATAGGTCAAGCTCCGCACAGGAGGGAGAGGGGCCTTTCTGGCTAGCGTATAATTGTCATGCTTGACTACAGGATGGTTATTTTCACGTAGGAGCTTATTCAGGGCGTACCACAGACTGTGGCTCGTGGGTTTGGGTGTGCAGTGAGTGCACGAGACTGGAGCTTAGTGTAAAAGAAATAAAAAGAAAATCCTGTAACGCCAGAAGAAAATCACCAACGCTACGAGTGAATGCTGTGTTCAGAACCTGTTGTCTATCTCCAGCGGTCTAGATTGACCGTACCCTGAATTACCGTGTGAACAAAGTTTGTTTGGGAAGGATTCCCTTGCTGGAGCCCTCTCTTACCAATGGTGGTCAGCAACTTGAAATGCTCGTTGTCCATAGGATGACCACAAGGTTTGGAAGCTGCCGGGTCTGGTCAGAATGCTAAAGCCTGGACTCAGTCTGGAACAGGCCAACTGGGGGTGATGGTCCTTTGCTACAGAAGGACACGATAGAAGGGGTAGGAATGAGAGACCTTATATGCTCTCAGGTTTATACCAGCAAAGCTCCCTTTTTTTAGCTGGTGGTAGCTAGCTGGTCAAAGCCATAGCTCATCTGCTTCCCGGACTAGGATACGATCTGTTGAGTGTAACGGAAGCAGCCGTGCACATTTTTTGAGGTTAGGAGAGGCTCGTCGCTGGCGATGGGCGTTGTGCCAGGGAACAGAAATCAAATCAGGCTCCCACCGCCTGAGTGGCTACCTGCAAACATTAACGTGAGCATCTGGGGTTTTTTTCCTGGTCACTTCAGATTTCCTACTTAGCATTTCTGTGAAAGGGATTTCTACTTGCATGCGTGTTGCTAAATGCTGTCGTCCTTCATGGTGATGCATGCGAGCAGGGCATCTCCACAGCAGAGCCGGGGAATCCAGGTTTCCTTGATCCCGCTGATCAGTGGGACAGTTTTTGTGTGGTTCTGTTTCCTTTTTTTGCTGGAGTGGGGACCTGCTCTTTACTGGGAGCACTTTGGTTCTTTTTTATGGGCTGTGTTTTTGGGGCACTCGTGGTGTCTCTGCAGAGACATGGTGCCCGTGCTGTAATTTCTTTGGAGGGCTTAAGAGATCGGGTGTAAAATTGGCTGCCCTCTGCCTCTGACTGTGAATTACCATGCAAAGCCTGGCTGTGCCTCTCTACGAGCCCAGGCCTGTAAAGTGCTGAGTGCCCTCACCTGCCTTTTTTTTGAAGTCAGTGGTGTCTAGGGGCTCTTAGTGCTTCACAGGAAGAGCTTGGGATTGCGGAGGATCCGGATCTGAGTGAGGAGCACAAGAAGCCAGGAAGATGCCCCTAGTTCCTGTCCCCTCTGTGAGGTTAGCTGTGATACACTACAACACTTTCCTCTTCCCATGACTTACTACTTCACTAAAAGCCTTTCTCTGTATGCCAGCTCCTCTCAGGTTGCTGCCCAGGGTAACGCACACAATCTGCTGGTCGCTCTTGGCCCTTGGATGCTACACACGTCAGCAGCCACCATGCCAGTCAGTGCTACACCACCAACACTGCAATAGCAAAGAAACTCCTTCCCCCTTTCAGCTTAAGGGCTGGATCCTGCTCTGTTGGAAGGCAATGAAAGTGTTGCCACTGGATCCTTGGAGGCTGGCTAGGGCTATGCCTCTGGATTTGGGCCACCCGCTTCCTGGGTTTCTACTGGTCTCATGGCTTCTTTCCTGTCTTCCCGTTGGGATCATGGGATGCCCATGCCCTGTTCTCATCTCAGTTAAACCCACGTGCTATAGATTCAGAATAACCCTGTGGATGCTGCTTTGACCAAACTTTGAATCTGGACAAAAACAAGCCAAGCCCTCGTTCAGACTCTGTTGTCCTGCGCTATATCTTCTCCATCTGCGCATTCATCCTTGGGTCACAGGGCACAGAGACCACATCTGTGCTCTTTATGTAACAAGGCTGGATTACTTGACCCTTCAGCCTTTATGTATTCCTTGTAACTTCCTGCCATTTGCCTTTGGTGGGGCCCAGAGTATATAGCTTGCCACCTTGAATCACTCAGCGCCCAGTCTTGGCCAGCCAAGCAATCCTTTCTCCCTCAGGACTTTTTCCTAGGTCAGCACTGAGCAAAGGCTTTGCAATGGGCTTCTGGACCATAGCAGAGGCCACATGCCACAGACTTTACTATTCCATACTGAGACATCACACCCACTGGCTTCACCAGGACTGCTTGCAGCATTGTGTGTGGTCACTGGTTACCACTGCAGTTCAGAGAAAAGGCATTGGTACGTAGGCTTGTAATTCGTGGTGCTAAATGCTGTCCTTCATTTGCTATCTGCTCTGCCCTCAGTTCAAGACAAGCTCAGACTTGCTTTGTGTTCAGTACGGTGCCAAAGCTTTTATTCAGCACTCCTCCACCAAGAAAGTCATCTTCCCTCTGCAAAACACTTCAGGCCAGATTCCTGTCAACTAGACATCTAAGTGGACTAGGATGCGCAAGTGCAATCCTATCCCACCCTGCATAAACCCTTGAAAATCCATTACCACATCTATTTTTGTAACGTGCTGTCATCTTAGCCTTAAGACTGAGTCACAAACAGCAGCAAGGAGGGACCCACCCACCTCCTGTATTCATTGATTTTCAGGGACTCGAGAAGGGTAGAAGAGGGATGGTATCTGACCCTGTAAACATCAGCTCATCCATAAAACAGGCAGGCCCCTTTGAACTCGGTATGACTCTTTCCTCTGACACTTCCTACTTAGTAGCCCGAGTCTGCTCCCATCAATACCAGTGGGACTTCTGCTGTTGACTCCAGCGTGAGTAAGATCAGGAGCTTGTTGAGCAAACCCACGGACTCACTGCCCCTCAGCATGGAAGTCTCTGCTTGAAAAGAGGCTCCTTTCTGCAGAGCTTCTATGCCGTAAGGGGCTGCCCAGCTGCCTCCCTGCTCTTCACCGTACAGTGAAAGAATATGAATTGTGGACCACTCTGCCCCCAGCGCAGCAAGCCACACACTTAACTTCAGCAGGGGTACTGGCACACCTGTCCTGAGTCTTCTAGCCCAATCTCGCAAAGCACTTATGGACTCAGCGTGCGCAGGATAAAGCAGGATCCACCCATAGGTAGTCAAAAACCTGCTGCGTTTCTTGAGTTAGGAACTAGGAGGACCCTCCGCAGCTCAGGCTAGCTGATCATCCCATCCCATTTGAAAGACCAATCTGCGCAATTTCAGACATATCTCCGCCGGGACGTGGTTTTCCCCAAGCCATGTCTTCCTCCAGAAAAAGACAATACTGAATCAAAACCAGGACATGTCAGGGTGCTTCAAAATCTTGGAAAAGGAATAAGAAACATCTTAGTAGGAAACATTCCTGCTCTTGCTCAGCATTCACAAAACTCATCACGGTAGTGAAATGGCGCTCTCATGTAGTGCGTGTTAAATGGCCCTGATCAGCTTTCCATCTCTTTGACAGGAGTTAGAAATATATTGGTAGATCCTTTCTATAAACCAGTCAGAACCGAAGGCGAGGCTTCCAGTCCAGGCCATTTTATTTCACAGTCAGCGTTACCGACTCATGAGAACAATATAGAAACTCTGTACAGTTTGGCACATATAAGCTTGGATTCTCTCACTGCCGAGGTACACGCGGTTAAAGAATATGTAAATACTGAAGCAAAAAGCAGTGCGTCTGTCAAGACAATTTATCTATTTAAAATGTATTGGTACTTTATTTAGATTCAATGTATAAAGCAACTTTGTGCACTTTTCCTACTTACAGTATTGGGGTTTTTTTTATGTTCTTTTGTTATGGATTTTGTGCTGTCTTTTTTAATTGGTGAAATTTGTTAAGTATTTAATTTATTATTGATACGCCCAGAGGACTAGTGCAATTTTTATTCAATACAGTTTGGCTGTATTTAATGTCAGGATTTTTTTTTAACGTGGCTAGGGCATTTTTTTTTTTAAATCCACCTCTTCTCTCCCCCCGTCTTTTTTTTCTTTTCCTTTTCTTTATTTTTCCATTACATGGATTGTGAGGCACGTGACGCCTTGCAGCTTGAAAGACAGTATAACACTAAACAAATCCTTGAGTTTCTAAAACAAAAAGTTCTCCAGGAAAAAGAAATGTCTAAGAGGCATTTATCAATTTTTCCCCCATGTTTATGTATTTATTTCTTGGAGTATGTGTGTGTGTGTGCGTGCGTGTGCGCGCGCGTGTGTGTATGCACAAATTTGGAGATTTGGGAGGGTCAGGGCAGAGGGAAAATTGTACATAAAGTTTGTTTTCAGCAAAGCAAAAGGCTAGTCAGGCTACAGGGAAGTCTAGACATTAAGTCACTTAGGTTTCTTTCTTCTTGAAATAGGGATGTATTTCTCTGTGTTGTACAATCCTGTTGGCACTATCTAATGCCAAAATTTCGCCCTTTTCGTTCTTCCTTCCAACTCTTCTTTTCAAAGACGTTACATGTTACCTAATACCTACCTGACAGTAACTTGGCTGCAACTACAATTAATATTAATATTCATTAATAGATTTGCCTTTGTCTAGAAAGCAACATCCCAAGTATCGTGTACATGAAGGTGGGCCCCAACCCTAAGCCTGGATTTGAAGACTCTCAGGCTTTTTTGATGTATTTTAGGTCTGAAGCATGTTTTGCCAATTAGCCCATCCTTATAATGGGACAAACCAAAACTGTGGTTCAACAGGGGGTCGGACTAGATGATCTACTCAGGTCCCTTCTGACCCTAGAAACTATGAAACTAGAAACTATGAAACAGTTTTGCCTCTGGGGCCCATCTCTAATTCCCAGCTGGGTGGAAGCAATGGGCTGGAAGGTTGTGAAGTTGCTCGCTCCGTGAACGGATGTAAATTTCTATCTAAACCAGAGAAATTATCCCCCTATATTACTTTAATATTTATTTCAAATGGTAATGGGGATATTCTGGGTCTCTGGCACTTGCAGTAATCGTGTAAAGGGGAAAAATTCAGAAATGCTGATGCTTGCAGAAAACGAGATTCAATGAGCTGAGACTAAGAATGTGAGATTCTGTGAGATTTGCAGCACCTCAGCCTGGTGATCATTGGCATTATTTATGCGAGAGTTGAAATATGGAAACTCATAAAGAAATGAATTGGAAAGCAAGAGGTGCAGTACCCCCAGCTGAATCGACGCAGCCGTGGCTGTCTACTTCCATAATTCCAGCTGGGAGTGACCCGTGGCTCCAGTCTGCAGAGGGTTCCTGCTCTGCACCCCTGGGCATAATGGCTTTCAACCAAAGGCAAAACAAAAAGACTGAGCAGACTCAAGTGAGCTTCAGTCGCTGATCAGCTGGTGACCAACTTGTGCATGTGAATGGGTGCGTGCGCAGGATGATGTGATGTTGATGGGTGTGACAGCAGGGAAGGGGACCAAACGGGGCGAGGGAGGGAGAGTGGGAGTGTGAAAGGATAGGGAAAAAAATAAAAATAGAAACCAAAATACAAAGTGCTGTTTCCATAGGAACGTGATGCATATCAGTCAAAGCCCTGAAGTCTGCCGTTGCTTCCTCACTGCATTATGGACGGTTCGCCTGGGGGAAAGGCTCGCATGATGCTCAGTGAATAGTCAGTGGGAAAATGGGGCAGTCAGGCACAGCCAGGTATTCGAGGGCAGGGTGGGCAGGGGGAAATCCAAAGGGAGCTCCCCTGGTTCCTAAACGTGGCAGAGTCATGGCTGTGACGGTGTAGGGGCCCTTAGCAAATGTATGGATGGCTGGGAAGGTCAGCCAAGCTAGCGGCCTCAAGCACCACAGATGCAGCTCAGCTCAGCACCTTTGCCGTAGCTAGACAGAATGGTTTATAATTTGTAGGTCCTGTGCTCCACTAAGTCGCATTGCGGGAGGTGGCAGGCCTCCCCCTTCAGCTCCATCAACCCTCATTTGTATAAAACCATCTCAGTTGGTGTCCATTTATAGCATTCATCAAGCAGCACCTGAATGTTACTGTGCGTCTTCCCAGTCCTGTGACTCCTCTGTGTTGGACCCATGGCCGTAGATGAGGAAGGTGGGAATTACAGGGGAATCGGCTTTTGTCGTGGCAAGCGTAGGCAAGCTGGCAGCAATGACCGAGGGCCTGTGAGCCACTGGTGAAAAAGCAAAGCCGAGCTGGCTTCTTTCCGGGTCCCATCACTTCCTATCTAAACAGCACCGAAAGAAAGAGGCTCTCTCAGCCAAGTCAAAGCTGCTAGATGTGGTTGTTTTATAGGCTCTGTAAGCGCGAAGGGCCGGGGCTGCCGTACAAGGGACTTGCACTTGCTGTAAATACGCTCTAGCATATTAACCTCCTTCACTTGCCTGCTTTCAGTACAAACTTTGTAACACTTTTTTTTATTTCCCCTTTGCCTATACAGTCTGTACTGAGTATAACTATGGAACTGAATATTCTGTATGTTATGATCTTTGTACAATTTTAAAACCGTTGCCATGGTGTCTGCTTTTACTCTCTCCTCCCCCCCGCTATTGTCTCTTGAAACACTGTTAATAAAAATCTAGATAAACTCCTTGCCTCTTTCTGCTTGGGCTTGTTTTATTTATGTTGGGTCTCTTGCCTTATTTTCTGCATTAGCTGTGTCTAGGATATAGTAAACCCTTTCAACCTCCGATTTTTCCACTGCAGCCCATGCCCTGAGTTGTGTCAGCAAAAAGGATGGAAGAAAGGCACATAAATATTCTGCATGACGCCTCCATGGCACGGTCCTATGATAACATCATGGTTTTAAGGAGCTTGAGAGGAACACTGGGTCAAAGATGACAGGCTCAAAATATCCCTGACAATGTCTTTTCAAAGTACTTATTTAACTTATCCAGCAGAGGATCAGCCCCTGTAAAAGGACAATGCAGATAAACCCTGCTTTCCTACCCCCAGGCTGGTGCCCTGAGCCATTGTGCTGTTGCCTTCTGTTTTCCATCAGATAATGTAATTGCAGGTACCTTTGGTAAAACTCATCCTGACCTCCTGCGTTTCATCACGCTTAGAGGGGGCTGGGGTGGTGTGGGCGCTACGGCACACAGTCGACAGCCCAGAGGATGCAGTTTTGAGACGGTAACAGCAGCACTCGTGGCATGGCCATGTCCGATCCCAGTGAACCCGTGAAAAAAGAAGGAAGGATCATTCTTAGAGCAGCTGGAGCCATGTTGCAGTTGTATCTTCACTTCCCCCAGAAGGGCAAATAGGTCTCTAAAAACTGTGCTCATAGCAGTCAGGCTGGACGAGTGGATTTATGCAGAAGGATCCTGCAGTTGGATATACTGGAAAGATCTTTAGGCTTATCAAATCCACCACGATTCCTGAATGGCTCTATCCCCTGCCAACACAGCTGAAGTGCTTCGGACGCAGGTGAAGGATGGTCCAATGGTCAGGACACTAGCATAGGACTTGGGAGATCTGCCTTCAAGGTCTGCACTGTGTCATGGTGAATAAATCACTCACTCCTCTAGGTCTCAGCTCCCCATTTATAGAATGGGGATACTTGACTTCCGTATGTGAGAGGGGTGTTTTGAGGATAAGTGTGTTGAAGACTGAGAAATGCTCAGATAATTATAAAGACATTATGACAAAAAATGGGAGCATCTGAGTACCTAGGGAAGGTATAGTTAACCTGTGGAATTGATTGGACCCTGTGGAATATTACTGACCTGGATAATTTTGCAGTTTGCAAAAGCATGAGTTGTGTAGATGAATAAGAATAGATAGATACATAGATAGATATGGACATGTGGGCATGATTCAATTAGCAATGCAGTCCATGGGAATGGTTCCTTTGATTTCACTGGGAAATACCTATGGAGAACTGAGCTCCTGGTTTCAAGGTGATCGCGAACAAGGTGCAATTTTGCCCCGAAACATACTCAGTTCCATGCTTTTCCTGGATTGCATCACTAGCTGTGGGAGAAAGCATCATGCAGCAGATAGGCTACTGGAAGTCTTTTCCAGGACCCTCCTCCTTGGTTCTTAGTGACAGGATGTCCTGGAGTCCTGACGTGAACCGAGCTGTTGGAAATCACTGCTTCTCGGTTCATGTGCAGGGGGCAGGAAGAAATATCCCCCTCTGAGATAAAAACGGGCAGGATTAGGTGCTTTAGAGGAGTGAAGCGTTTTCCTCTGAAGCATCTATCACTGTTTTTTGTTGGTGACAGGCTACCAGACCAGATGGGTCGCTGGTCTGGTCTGATGTGGCAACTCCTGTGCTAGCGATGACAGAATGTTCTTTCCAAGACATCTACCAGGATGTGCTGAAATTGGAAGTCACCGCTCCTTGGTTTGCCCCAGGGTCCGTGCAGAGAAACACCATCTGCTACCAGGGAGGAGCACAGGGGGCCTGATGCCTCCTGCCTCGCACATAATGAGGTTGTTCGCACCTGTGCCAAATGCCTGCTCAAGGCTGTCATTCTGATTTGGCAGGAGTCTTGCACACCTCTGCACAAGTACCGATGATAGGATACAAAGTGCAAGGGGAATCTGGACTTGGGGGAACTCAAAAAAGGAAGTGGCTGCAGCTAACTCAGGACTTGCCAGGGGGAATAAATGCTAACTCCAAGGTCTTTTTTTGCTTGGATTGTTTTGGAAGCTGCTTGGTACTTCCAAAAAGAAAAGGGCCTGTTGGGAATTTAGTGATGGCTTCCTAAAGCTCAGAGGAAGGATCTGTACCATCCAGAGCCCTGGCATGGCTAAGAATAGCCTGGGAGCTGCTCTAAATTATGTCAGCTGACTACAATCTCGTAGGACTATAAACCAACTGCGCATTGCCTGAGACCTCAGCCACATTCCCTCCTTGACCCCTCCACCACTCTTGTATCACAGCTAAGTGGGGGCTGGAGAGGTAGTAAAGGCCAGCACCTGCACCACTTGAGAGCTCCTGGGTGTGGAGGGACTTTTCCCCTGATCCAATCTGGCCACCTTCTAGCCCGTTAGTGATAGTCAGGCAATACTTAGTAGATGTACTGGGAAAATGGCTGACTGCAACAGTTTCTTGCTTGAATATGTTTGTCTAGTAGCTCTGTTTTGCTGTGACACTGATGTGTTCTCCACCAAAGAAATAAAGACCATGAAGATAGAGCAGACTTGGAATAGGATTTTTAGGTAGCTGCAGAATGCACTCTTCAGACATTCCTGCCAAGGAGTGATATTCTCCCATGCTCTCCATTATTGCTCCTGAAATGCAACATCTGTTCCAATGTCTCTCTTATCCCCTTGTCACTCTCTAGCCCATCATCACAGGATCTCTGCAGCAGTCTTCTGATTAGCTGCTGAACAGTTTGCATATTGACTCTTCTCCTGAAGCTGGGGTTTTTTGGTCCATTCTGGCTCCAAGGACTCAGCTGGTACAATGCCTCCCTTGTTATTACCACACATACTCAGTGCATTAGCGTCTCCTTTCTAAGAAAATGACCCCAGCCACTTAAAGAGTTAGTTATTTTCCTATGAAGGAAATAAAAGATTATGTTGCCTATGAGTGAGGAGGGGGAAATGTCTGCCTTCCTTGCTTCCTTCCTTCCTTCCTTCCTTTCAGGGCAGGCACTTTTGTTGAGTGGGATGGAAAAAATAAAAA